CAGACTTTCCCAGTGCAATGAAGGAGTAGGGCTGAACCAGGTCAAAACCAGGCAATGAACCAGCTCTGCAGTTCCTTCAGTGTATCATCAGCATCCAGGGGAGGGAGACTCACCACATCCTGTGTTAAGGAGATGACACAGCCTTGCCTGCTGAAAGTGAAGAGGACTTGAAACACTTGATATAGATGGTCAAAGACTACAGCATTCAATATGGTTTACATCCCAACATAAATGATAACAAAAATCTTCATCACTTAACTACCAGGTAACGTCAGGATAGTTGGAGAAAAGATTGAAGTTGCTAGCAATTTCATTTTACTGGGATCCATGATCAACACCCATGGTACCAGCAGCTTTGGAAAATCTGTCCTTGGGGAGGGAGATCTGCCAAGGACTTCGGCAAAGTGCCACTGAACAAGGATGTGACAGATCAGGATGTCCCAGGATAGGGCAGGGTTCAGCTCTGTTGTTCATAAGATCATTGTCAACTCCATAGCACGACATAGCATAAGAACAGTTTCTGGAATTAAAGTGGATGGACCAGTAAGCCAAAAATCCAAACCTGTTGGCATAGAGTTGCCTCATCAAGTATCCAAGAATGTAAAATTTTTAAATTTGGGGGTTTTTCCACATGAGTGTCATGTACACTGAGTTTTGATACCTTTACCCTTCTCTCTCTCCAGGTCACCTCTGGGCTTTTCCCACTCCTCTCCTCTCACCCAACCCATCAACCTCTGAAGGAGTCTGCCATCTCTCTCAGAGCTGCTGGTGAACTTGAAGCTTTTCAGTTTGCAGCCAAATGTTTAAGCAAAGTCACCAGGCCTCTTTGAAGGAAGGAGGTGGTAATGAAATCGTGTACTAAAAGTAGACCTGGATTAAATTACTTACTTTAGCACTTTCTACACTATGAAGGTTTACTTCAAACCTTTCCATGCTTACGTTCCTGTAACGTTTGTCCTACTCTACTCCCATAGCCAATGAAGTATTTGGGGATCAGTATCTAGTCAAATTGATCCATGATGGTATCAGAAAATTCACTACCTGCTGGTTGATGTTGTTGATTGCCTTCAAGTCAAGCACAACTCACAGTGACCCTATAAACAAAAGGCCTGAAGCCCCCCCCCCTTACAACTATTGACATTTATCCAAGTTCATACTTTCTGGAGGCATGGATGCCACTCCTGCTTAGACTTGGGGATTCCCTAGAGGAAGAGTCTGCGGGGGAGGAGCATTTTCTTACGTATTCAGTAGCCAAATAAGCGACCCAGAACAATTAAGCTCCAACTTCCATGCTTCCTTATCTCTTATCCAAAATAGTAAAGGGAGAGAAACATGTTTGCTAAATAACTGGGAAAGATCTAATTTTCCTGACTCTGACCCAAGTTAAAATGAAGACAGCAATTTAATGATATTTTAGTACACAAGGACAAAGTATATACTCCTACAATGAGCAAAATGCTTCTAGAAATGTTAGTCTGTTGCTGCTGTATGCCCTCGAGTCCAACCCATAGCGGACCATCCAGCAGATTTTCCAAGGTAGTGAATCACATGAGAGGAGACTGCCTGTCCTCCAGTGGAGCAGCTGGAGGATTTGAACAGTGTGTTTGGGATTGCAATGTAGTTTCCTACCACTAGTCCTCAGGTCTGAAGGAATAAACTTAAAAACCCCCTCAAACTCAAAGCTAAGATGTCTGCATTAACTCCTAATTGATCAAGTTTTCTGAAGCTGTAAACCTCACGGAAGCAGATGGTCCATCTCCGTCCCAAGGAGAGCCCCTGGTGGAGACACCCCCACCCCACTAGAAAAACTCCACCTTCAGGTTAGCAGCTTCAGTCCCTACCAACTAGGCCTCATAGCTCTCAGAGAAATGGGATAACTGGATCTCATTAGCTCCTTCATGTGTGTGACTGGGGGGGGGGGGGGTTTTAGCAGATATATTTAATGTTCAAGGGAAATACAAAGTTCAAGTGACAATGAACTTTAAATATTGGCTAATTAAGATTTTTTTAAGCAAGTGGAACTTTTTTTTTGGGATTAGTGTTTCAGGAAACATGACCTGACCACCACTGTGGATAACTGGATACTATGGAAAGAGATACCCTTTACCATTAAAGACCATTTGTACTGGAAGGAAGGCCACGGACTTAAATGTACCTCCTTCTTTGGGCATATCTTCCTCTCACACAGTCTAAGGAATCAAGAGTCCATGCCAAGCTTCTCCTGACTAGTTCACACCTGATAATGTTGGCATTCTAGGCGTAAAGAATCCAACTAACTACCCTAAAGTCATCTCTGCTAAGGATGTCACAAGTACCTATTAAAACTGCTGCAGTGCAGTATTAACTCTACAAAGTTAATGATGACCCCAAAAAAAGAAAAAGACAATGCAATCTCTTAAGAGACAGAGGACTCAACAGCAGGTACTATAAAATTACAACCTGCCTGTACTTCACAGGGTGTCCTAGATAAATAATGCTATCAGTGAGCAAGAGACAAAAATCACTACCTGGGAGTACTCTGTCATTTATTTCAACAGGCACAGGAAAATAAACTTTGTCAGAAAAGGATCCACGCTGTCAAAAATAGAAAACAGCAGAGTGAAGGAGATGAGACTGTATATATTTCTCAATCAGAATTACTGGTGAAACAGCGCATCTGAACAAAGCATTAGCTGTATGGCCATCTGATAGATAAAAGGAGATTGCAAAGGCGCTGGAATGGGTGGGGAATGACCAAGCGCTGCAGGACCGTAAGGACTCATTCCTTACCCAGTCATAAAGTAGGTTCTTTTACCTATGGTGTATAACCAGAGATCAAGCGATCAGTTTAAAAAAGGAAAGAATTAGACTGTCTTACTGGCTGTGGAAGACCAGTCTGAGTACATTCAGGCAAGTTTCAAATATTTTATTTTTAAATTCATACAGTATGAAGTTTTCTAAAGATCCCACAACGTGTTGTATCATGCAGAAGAAAAACTAAACATTCAACATAAACTGTCCCTCCCCCAAACCCGCACGCACAAACTTAAAAAAAAGAAAAAGCCCAAACAAAACAAAAAGCCCTCCCCCACCCCCAATCCCCAGTAAGGAAATAATGTTTTGCACTATTTTCTATAACGCCAGCCAAGATATGCACAAGCAAGAGAAATAGAAAGCATTTGCTAAAATATTTGTAACAAATACTTATGTACAAAAATTTCACAAAAGACTAGTTCCCCCTTGAAGCAGAGCACATGGCAGTTGACACTGGAACAGATCAAACCACTGGCTGGGATTATAAGCCACGTACTGATCCAGAGGAAGAAAGTTACATGTAGTGGAGATTTTCAGTTTGAACATTAACATTTCCAAAGTTTGGCAACATTATCCTTTTAAATTATGCAAATTGTGTAAACAAGAGGTACATTTTCAATCGATCTACATGCAAAACTCCATGTCATGCAAGGACACCAAGCACCGGGATTTTCTCTCACAGACAGAGCCCATGATGTGCAGCACTCAGCTGAAGGAACAGCGACGGAGCAGGCTCGATGGATGACTCGCTCACTTGACTCAGCCTGCCCTTTCCACTCACGATTAGAAAACCAGCTGTCACTGAAAAACTACAAAGGGAAAAACTACTGCCCTAGAAAGCGAATGAAAATATTTTTTTCTTTCAGCCAATAGTACCTTTGCAGAAAAGGGAAGCGATTACTATCAAGTGGTGGAACATGATACACTACTTTTATATCACACAAATTTATTATCCACTACAAACTTTATGGGCAAATCAAGAAAGAGGACCATTCTATGCCTTGTAGTTAAAAAAATTTTTAGATAAAAGTCTGGATAAAATTTTGCTCTTCATTTGCACATAGATTAGCAAGATTTCTCCCATTCAAATCACAAATATGTGTGGGTGTTTAGATACATACATGCACAATAAATATCACCAGTTACCTAGATTAGCTGCAAATCTTTAGAAAGACAGGGAATTTTATGGTTCAAACAAGTTTAATGACAAGTTATTTCACCAGGTAAGGAAACAAATACCCTATGCAGTTATGTGATTGCCTCAGGTACTCTTCATCAAATTAATGAATTAATGCATAAGATATATCATGGTTACCTCAGGCAGCTTCTGGCTTTCCCTTATAAAATAGTCATCACATGATAACATACATTTTATTCAGGGACGTTTAATAAATGTAATGGCTCCTAGTTACAAAGTAATAGAATAAAAGCAGCCATGAGAACTGTGCAGTCTATGTGAACACAAGAACTAGCTCTAGGCAAAAGCACTGTTCTCCTCAAGCAGAGGCTTATGAAAGGTTGCAGCTCAGCAATGAGACATAGTCCCTGGAAAACTATTCATAGGTATAAAGTTACACACTTCTTTGTTACAAAAAAAAGGTTAATTAAGGTATAAGAGAATGTTAACAAATGCTTTGCCAATCTCTCAAAAGAGAACGCACAGGAAAATAGCTGGCCTAGCTCCTGGCTCCAATTGTGCAATCTCTCTCTATATATAAAACTGTGTGAAATAAAAGGATGTACAGATCCATGGTTTTGAACTTTTTATGTTCTGCTTGGCACTTTTGTACTCTATCATTTTGCTTCTAAATCAAGTATATTAAATTAAAGCCAACCTACTACATATATAGAAAGCTACATATATCTATATATAAATATTTACATATGTATATATAGATACTTTCTTGTTATAAAAGATGAAGAAAAATAAATTAAAAAGCCAACCCCTTCCCTTTCTCCACCACAGTGATATGCTCTTTCATCTTGCTGTCCTTCAGACTATAAAGTGCTACACAGAGTTATTGAGAGAGTAAGAGTTCAATAACACTTAGTTGGCTTCATGAGGCTCATGTTGGAAAATGTGGCTTCACAGAGAAAAATACTTCCATTTAAATACACAGAGAGCATTGCTGGACGTCTTGAGCAGATCTTCAGAGATGGAGAAGAAAGCAAAAGTGTTGGGTGGTACTCTTTAAAGAAAGAGTCACACGTCTACCACCATTTTTTTGTGGATGTCTAGGCCACCTACAACCTGCAACAGATGGGAACAAAGAAAGGTTAATATATCTGAAAAAATTCCTTCTTACTGTTCTCAAAACCTGATAAAACACAAAAACGCTTTTCAGAAGCCAAACCTGGGGGGAAGAGGACTGCACATGAAAACCCCATACCTGAGCTGCTTGCAGTTTGATTTTCATGGTTTTCTTCTCACAAGCTAACGGGCATTTCATCTTTCCACTCCAATACAGAGATGAATAAACTAGAAATGGTTAAAGAGTAAGTATTTCCCATTAAGTGTCATTTCTCCTCCTTCTTGTGTCCTATGCCCCAAAACTGCAGGGCCTTGCTAGTTCCGTAGTTCGCCCAATCCTGCTCCAGTTGTTACACAGAAAATGATAACCAGATCTTACTACAAAGCAATCTTCAAATATCAAATACGGATTACGTTTAAAAGATATTGAATAAATTAAAATTTCTGCACCCTATTATTTCCATGGAGTAAAGAAATATGTGTAAAGTTGTTTTATGCTATTGTTTTGAGACCCTCACCAGAAAGATGAGCATGGTGACTAAAACGATGGGCTCAAGTCCATGGGAGGTGCTGAGGACGACACAAGACAGGTCAAAGTTCAGATCTGCTCTTCACAGGGCAGCTACTGACCAAATGGCACATAAGACACAGAGGCAGCATGGTGTGGGACCCAGGCCGGCTGTGGCTGGGACCAAAGACCGGTATTCATGCTGCCATGCACATACCAGGCTGGGACTAAGACCGGCTCCAGAAGGGCACCTGTCTCCACGGAGGCACGCAGCCAATCTACAGGAAACGCACACTGTTTCACAGAGCAAACACTATCATTCACACATGTGAATGGCACCCAAAACACTATCTGACTACCTCTCTGGCCCCGTTAGCTGCCGAACCCACCTCAGCTCACCACACCCCTAAAACATACATAAGAGGCTGCCACTTCTGATACTACAGATTAAAATATATGCAGCTTCTGTCATCAAACATTTCATTTATGACTGTCATCTATGGTGCTGTACAGTCATTTTAATATTAAAAACCCCCTACTTTTTTGTGAAAAATAAAGCGTACAAGAGTCAGTTTGTTCTACAAGCCCCACTTTCTAGTTCCTTTTACCCATTACAGTTTTCAGAGAATTGGAAAGCATTTTCTGTCAGAATTTGAAAAGCAATAGTGCACTATATTCTAGTTTATAACTTCACTATGGATCTATTTGGTGCCATTAGGATTTTTGGGTCTTTGTATGAATGGACAGGCAACAAACACCTTGCACTTGGGCAATCTGCAGAACCTCTCTCATTCTCCTGGTTCTAACGTACCCTGCCAATGGCCCTTAATTAAGCAAAGGACACCATTCCTTTTCATCTCTAAACTCATTTCATCTCATGGAGTTTTGTTTTTGGGGGTTTTTATCATCTTTGCAGATTTCCTTCCTGGAATTCGTATCAGTTAGATGTGAAACCTCCTTGACAGTATCTCTAAACCTTTATTTCTTTTTATTTTTTTATTTATTTTTTGTGTGAGTGTATCGTCAAATCAGATCTGACTCGTACAGGAGGAGATTGTCTCTCCTTCCCCGGCAGAGCATCTGGTGGATTTGAACCGTGAGCCTCTGGGATTGTAGTTGCAGTTCCTTGCCACTAGGCCATTAGAGCTCCCCTTAAACCTTTATTTCTAAGAGCTCATTACAGGGAGCCCTGGTGGCTTAGTGGAAGGCACAGTGCTACCAATGCAAAGGTACAGTCTGAACGTTCCAGTCGCTCCTCGGGAGAAAGATGGGCAATCTCCTCCCAAGTGATCATCTACTACTGTCTGTGAAAGCCAACTAGCAGGTCAGCTAAGGTCAGTTCTGACTCGACAGTACACAAGAGGAATTCTTGGAAAATTTTCCAAGTTTTGTTTCAAGCATTCAATGTATCCTTAAGAATAACAACAAAAGGCTTTTGGCTTTACCTGGCTTTGAATAGCCTGTGCTTCCCAAGATGCCTTCTGGGAGACAGGATGTATTTTGGCTTCATGTCTATACTCAGGACTGTAAGTGTATGCCAAGTACCTAGTCATCCACGCTGCTCTGGGAAGACACAGCAGCCTTAGCGTACATGGGGGGAGCCTGTTCTCACAGCAGCCTCAGCGTACACGGGGAGAACTGTGGGGGAGTCTGTTCTCACAGCAGCCTCAGCGTACACGGGGGGAACTGTTCTCACAGAAGCCTTGCATTTATGGTGGGACTCTGGACTAGCATTTGGGGGACTGGATTTAAAAAAAAAAAAAAAAGATTGTTGTTATGTGCCACTGAGTTGCTTGCGATTCAAAGCGACCTTATGTACAAGAGCCCTAAACGTCGTTCTATCTTGTGTCAACCTCGCCGTCTCAAACATACTCATTCCCACCACTCCACTCACAGAATCGATCCATCTCATAGAGGGTCTTCCTCTCCTGTGCTGTCCCTCCACTCTCCCAAACATGATGTCCCTCTCCAAGGACCAGTCCCTCCTTGCAACATGCCCAAAGTATGTCAGACAAAGCTTCAGAATCCTTGACTCCAAGAAGCATTCTGGCTTCACCCTCTCCAGGACAAACCTATTTGTTCTCCTAGCAGTCCATGGTACAGTCAACACTCTTCTCCAGCACCATAGCCCAAAGGCATCAATTCTCTTTCTATCATCCCTATTCACTGTCCAACTCTCCGATGTATAGCACATAACTGCGAAGACTATAGCCCGGATCAGGCGCACCTTAGTCTCCAGCCTGACGTCATTGCTCTTCAGTACTCTTGAGACGTCCCCCTCAGCTGACTTTCCCAATGCAATTCGTCTCCTGATTTCCTGGCTGCTATTACCAAGAGTGCTGACTGTGGAACCAAGGAAACGAAAACTGTTAACTATCTCGATCTCTTCACCATCCATACTGATGCGGCCAACTGGCCCAGTGGTGAAAATCTTTATTTTCTTGATGTTGCGCTCCAATCCACAGTGAAGACTGCAGTTCTTGACCTTCTGCAGCAAGCACTTCAGGTCCTCCTCAGTTTCAGCAAGCAGGGTTGTGTCATCTGCATAACGCAGGTTGTTGATGAATCTTCCACCAATCCTGATGCCGCATTCCTCCTCATATAGCCCAGCATCCAAGATGATCTGTTCTGCATACAGATTGGAAAGGTATGGAGACAGAATACACCCCTGTCACACACCATTGCCCTGTCACACACCATTGCCTATTTTGAACCATGCAGTGTTTTCTTGCTCCATTCTGAGGACTGCATCCTGGTACAAGTATAGGTTTTGCATAAGTACATCAAATGTTCCGAGATTCCCATTCTTCTTAGAGTCAGCCATAGCTTGTTGTGATCCACACAGTCAAAAGCCTTTGCATAGTCAATGAAGCACAAATAGACATTCTTCTAGTATTCTCCGCTTTCTGCCAAGATCCATCTAACATTAGCTATAATATCCCTAGTACCGTGACCTCTTCTAAATCCAGCCTGCACATCTGGCAGCTCTCTGTTGACATACTGTTCCAAATGTTTTTGGATCATTTTCAGCAGAATCTTGCTTGCATGTGATATTAATGATATTGTTTGATAATTTTCGCCCTTTGTGGGGTCACCATTCTTTGGAATGGGAACAAATATCAATCTCTTTCAGCCAGTTGGCCAGCTGGCTGTTCTCCAGATTTCCTGCCACAACTTAGCACATCCAGGGCAGCGTCTGTTTGTTGAAATAAATCAACTGGTATTCCGTCAACTCCTGGAGCCTTGTTTTTTACCAATTCCTTTAGAGCAACTTGAACTTCCTCTTTCATCACCATAGGCTCTTGCTCATGTTATTTCATGAAATTCCTCTGTGTCAGCCAATTCCTTCTGATACAGTGACTCTGTACTCCTTCCATCTTCTTTTGATACTTCCTGGATCATTTAACATTCTACCCAAATTATCTTTAAGTATTGCCACCCGTGGCTTGAATTTGTTTTTCAACTCCTTCAGCTTAAGAAATGCTGAGCGAGTTCGGCCTTTTTGATGTTCTGACCCCAGCTCTCTGCACATTTCATTACAGTATCTTACTTTGTTGTCCTGAGCTGCAAAAAGGTCATTCTAATTGTTGTGTTTAAGTCTGTTTGGAATTCAGGTCAAGGAATAAAGATGGGTTCTAAACAAGAGAGAGAAAGAGAGAGAGAGAGAGAGAGAGAGAGAGAGAGATACCACCATCAAATTGGAACTGACTGGCTCCTAGCTGACCCTCCAGTGGGTTTCCAGAGGTGGTAAATCACACACATGGAGACTGTGAGCTGGATTCCAACTTCGTGCCTTGGGGTTTGGCAGTGCAATGCCTCAACAGGCAACTATGTATGCATCTACGTAATTCCTTTATACTTTCTCTTACAACTCTTGCTTCCTGTTTCCTAGCTGCCAACTCGAAGGTGTGAACTCAAAGCTCCTTGGGTGAAAGATGGGCAGTCTCCTCCTGTGCGAATTATCCACTGGAGGGTCAGCTATAGGTCAGTTCCAACTTGAAGACTCTTCTGTTAGGATGCAGGAGAAGAAGCTGTCCAGTTGAACAGAGTGGAAAAGGAGAGCTAGTCTTCTATCTCCTTCTAAAAACAGATTTTAACCAAGCGTGGTTTTAGTTTTACTTCCATCTGACTTTCAATTTACCTTGTGCCATCTGCACAGGGCCTTTGCCTAAGAACACAAGAATCACTAAGCTTGGAACAGTTGAGGAAATCACTATTTTAACTGCCCAACAAGTAGGTTGGTGTGTACAGGACTACTTATTTCTTCTGTCTCCCTAAGGCAAGGATTTTGTAGTTTCGTACATTTTGAAATGACTTCTAACCCAAAAGCAGGCCTCCCTGTTTGAATTTACAGACAAGGAAATGCTACAGTGGATCCCTGGAGTCACAACTCCCTCGACAGTAGGGAAGACTAAGTAACTGTAAGGGAGCGCTGGTGGTCTCGTCTGCAGGATGGTGCATTAACCCAAAGCCTACGCAGGTTCAAATCTACCAGCAGTTCCATGAGCAACAGATGGGCAATTTCCTCTCATTAAGATTTACTGCCTCAGAAACACAATGGAAGGGAGCAAGGTTGAACCATAAAAGAAAGAAGGCTACACGCACCATTTTTGTGCTGTTTTTGTCAGAATGAGATTGTTAAAAATATAACTAAGAAGTAGGTCTTTTGTACTTACAGCACAGAATTCTTCAAAGGATATTCTTCCATCTCCATCCTTATCTGCATTTATAATGGTTTTGTCTACAATTTGCTGTAACTGTGTATCTTTCAGATTGTTCCCCACCATCATCTTCAGCACCTGGAAGAGTTCTCCATTGGAAATATAGCCATCTTTATCCATGTCATAGATACGGAAAGCAACTTAAAAAAACAAACAAAACACAAAACCACAAAAAGAAAAAAAAAATCAATGGTGATTAACTGTAAGACAATAATTTCAATAATACAGAAAAAAAATATAATGAAAACATCCAGAATGATGACTATAAGGATGTGTTCTTCCTAAATAAAGAAGCTGCTGTTCAGAGCAGTTAACATACGGAGGCAGGACTGCTTAAATCAATTACAAGTAGCTTAAGGTAAGAAATTCAGTCTTGCCAAGTTTCAGTCTCTACATTTATAAATCTGAGGATATTAATGGTCTCAACTCCTTCACTGTTATGAAGATAAAATGAGATAAAACATTTGAGGTGTTTAAAGGAGACTCTGCCACACAAAATTGAAGTAAAGCTGTTAGAGAAAAATAGAACAGATTGGCTATTCTATTTTAAACAATCTTCTCTTCAAACTGCAGTATTTAGGATGCTTTTTGCAACTAAAAGGTTCAATCAAGCACATCAGAGATCATGAGGATGGCCTAGGACAGGCAAGGTTCAGATCTGTTATTCTCAGGGTCACTATGACGCATAGCTGACTTAAGGGCATCTAGCAACAATAGCTGACATAAGCAATTCTTACTAAATTGCTGCAATTGTTTACTGTTAATATTGTAAATACATAGTTTTTAATTATTCAAGTGATTTCTATTAATAGCTTGAAATGATAAGGATAAACAAACAATTGTGGGATAAAATATCCACTGTACTTTAATCACTTTCTTCACAATTAATTTTAAAAATATTTTACAGCATTTATTACATGCTTATGTTATTACTGTTATGACCTGTTCAATCAACTACAACTCACAGGTACACCGGACCCCAGTCAGTGTGTCAATCACTGCCACATTCCCTGTTATCAATCTATCTCATCCAAGGCCTTCCCAACATGATGTCCCTTCTCCAAGGACTGGCCCCTCCTGATAAGATGCTGAAAATATGTGAGACAAGAGGGTAAAAATCTTGCCTCCTGGTTTCACCCTCTCCAGGACACACCTGTTGTTCTCCTGGCAGTTTAAGCAATGTTCAATACTTTTCTCCAGCACCACAACTCGAAGGTATCAATTGTTCTTCTGTCATCCTTAATCACTGTCCAGCTCTCAGATGCATAGAAAGTAAAGGAGAAGACCATAGTGTGAATAAGGTCTACATCAGTGCTCTTCAGCAGATTTTCCTAATGCAAATTGTCTTTTGATTTCCTGATTGCTGGTGCCAAGGGTGTTAATTATGGACCCAAACAGGTTAAAGTCATTAACCACTTCAATCTTTTATTCATCTATCATGATGCCAATTGGCCTGATGGTGAGGATTTTTGTTGATGTTGAAATTGATGTCTGCAATCCTTGATCTTCCACAGCAAACATTTTAAGGCCCCCTCCATTTTCGCGAGCAAGGTTGTCATCTGCATAATGCAATTTGTTGATGACTCTTCCTCCAATTCTGATACACATTCCTCGTCCAGCCTCCAAGTGATCTGCTCAGCATTACAGACTGAAAAGATATGGACAAAGGATACATTCCCGGCACATGCCTTTCTTAATTTTGAACCATGCAGTGTTCCCTTGCTCTTGTATGGACAACAGCTTCTTGGTCAAGATAAAGGTTTTGCACCATCAAGTGTTCTACAGTTCCCACCCTTTTCAATATGAGCCACAATCTGTCAAATGCCTTGGCATAGTCAATAAAACACAGACATTCTTCTGGTACTCTCTGCTTTCAGTCCTAATCCATCTGACATTATCCCGACTGCCATGGCCTCTTCTACACCCAGCCTCTACTGTTGTAGTTTCTGGATAATCTGAATGTGGCATTAAAGATATGGTTTGATAATTTCTACATTTTGTGGGATCACTTTTTTTGGAGATAGGAATAAATATGGATCTTTTTCAGTCAGTTGTCCAGGTAGCTGTCTTTCTTGGCACTGACTGATGAGCAGGCCCAGAGCTGCATCTGTTTGTTGAGAAGCTATCAACTGGTGTTCCATCAATTCCTGGGCCTTATTTTTTGCCAATCAGAGCAGGCTGAACATTTCTTTTACTACCACTGCTTCTTGATCATATGCCACTTCTTAAAATGGTTCCGGGTCAGCCAATTCTTTGTGGTATGGTGACTCTTATTTCTTCCATCTTCTTTTGATTTCTTTTGATGCTCCCTGGCTCATTCAAAATTGTGCCTAGAGAATATTTTAGTTTTGTAACTCAAGGCTTGAATCTGTTCTTCAGTTCCTTCAGCTTGACAAATGTCAAGTGAGTTCTTTTGATCTTCTGACTCCATCTCTGCTGGACATTATGAAATGTCTTCAAACGCTGCCCTTTGATATCTTCAGTTCAACTCTTTAAAGTCCTGATTGTCTTGGCTTCTTGGCACTCTAGTGCAGTACTGAGTCTCTTCTGACACTCACCTTATTCTTTTCTTCCTCCTCTGTCTTTGTAATGACCTTTTTCTTTCTTTCTTTATGGATGATATCCTTGATATGGCCCTACAGTTCATCTGGTCTTCGTCCATAAGATTACAATGCTTCAAACTTGTTTTTGAGATGGTTTTTTCAATTCAAGCTGGAGAGACTCAATGTTGTATTTTGGTTCTTGTCTGTTTTCTTTTTATCTCGCTTCGATTTGAACTTGCACATGAGTAGCAACAGTTCACACAGTCAACCCTTGGCCTAGTTTTTACAGCTGATATTGACCTTCTCCAACTATTCTTTCCACAGATATAATCAAGCTGATTTCCTGGGTAGTCCATCAGGTGAGGTCCATGTGTACAGCTGCCGATTGAGTTTTCAATAAGATATCTGCAATGAGTAAAGTCACTGTGCAAAATCCCATTATTCTATCCTATCTCCAACCTCATTTCTGTTACCAAACCATAGTTTCTAACTACTGGTTTTGTTCCCAACTTTTGCGTTCCAGTCACTAATTTATTATTATTATTATTAATAATGAATCTAGGTTGCATGTTCAAGTGAAATCAGAATGGAAAAGTTGGCAGTTTATCTTCTATTTCCTCCTCTTTGTCTTTAGCTGTTGGTGCATATATTTGAATGATATAAGTATTAACAAGTCTTCCTTTTATGTGTATAGATATTACCTATACTAGCAATACTTTGCTTTCAGATGGATCCAGAAATGTTCTTGTTGATTACGAATGAAATCTCATATGTCTTCATTTTCTCATTTCCAGCTTGTGATTGTCTGATTCAAAGTAGTCAAGGCCAGTCCATCTCTTCTCGTTAATGCCTACTATGTAATCTTTATCATTCCATTTCTTTTAAAAAAAATGTTTATAGTATATATGTAATAAGCAAAATATGGTACTTCCCCTTGTTGTTATGTGCCACCGAGTCACCTGTGACTCTTAGTGAACCTTTGTACAACAACCCTAAACACTGCTCTATCCTGTGCCAATCTCACTGTCTCTGACACACGTACCCCCATTACCCCAGGCACTGAATCAATCCATTTCATCGAGGGTCGTCCTATCCTATGCTGTCCCTCAACCCTCCCAAGCATGATGTCCTCTCCAAGGACTGATCCCGCCTTGCAACATGTCCAAAGTATGTCAGATGAGGCTTCAGAATCCTTGCCACTAAGGAGCAGCCTGGTTTCACCCTCTCTAGGAAGAACCTGTTTGTTCTCTTTTTTTTTTTTCAATGAAAGAGACTTTATTGAGGGCCCAGGGTCATGGGGCTCAGAAGAAGGCCACCTGCAAGAGGCAAGGGAGCCAATGAAGAGGGGGCTCTTATTTGACCTTCTTCTTGGGGCACAGGTTGTTGGTGTGCCCACACTTCTTCTTGAGGCAATTGACAGCACGGGGATGCAGGCAAGCATAACACTTGCAGCAGATCATCTTGTCGCAGTTATATTTCTGGGCAAGCTGGTGCAAGGAAGGCTCAATAATGCCACCACGGAGACGCAGCACCAGATGCAGGGTGGACTCTTTCTGCATGTTGTAGTCTGAGAGTGTACGGCCATCCTCTAGCTGTTTGCCCGCAAATATTAGACGCTGCTGGTCAGGAGGGATGCCCTCCTTGTCTTGGATTTTGGCTTTGACATTCTCGATGGTGTCACTGGGCTTGACCTCAAGAGTGATGGTCTTGCCAGTCAGGGTCTTCACAAAGATCTGCATCTTTGTGTCTGCCGCTCGGCCACCTCGCTGAAGATAAAGAGGGCCCTGTTTGTTCTCTTACAAGTACTTTCCCTACTCTAAAGAAAAGATGAAAGCAAACCTCATTTAACCAAAAAACCACACCCTCAATAGAAGATTTTTATTAACTTCATTTATAATAAGAGTTTATCTGCATATACCTCAACCTCAGAGAACTTTTACTGACTACACACATGTCTTTCAAGCTAAGAGTTTAACAGGTATTAAGATGTTCACTGCAATACAGGCTGCCTGCATAAAATAAGTATTAGATTTCTCAGCTAGATCAGGCAATGTATAACAAAGTTATTATTTAGTACATAAGGACATTTCTTTACATTCTCATAAAAAATTCTTATAAAAATCATATATGCATTTCACATAGCTAATTTTCAATAGAAGAAAGCTGTTTCCTTCTGTCCAACAATGACATATTATTAGAAAAATTATTTGCACCATGGTGATCAAGACAGCATGATACTGGTAAAGCAACAAGCATACAAATGAATGCAAGAGAACTTGAGAAACCAGAAATCAGCTCATCTACCCAAGGTCAATTGAATTTTTACAAAGAGTTGAAATCAGTTAAGTCATACATGGCAATCTCTTTAATAAATGGTGTTGGCAAAATTGGAAAACCATCTGCAGAAAATTTAAACAAGATCCATACTTCACACCATACATAAAACTCAACTGAAGGAGGATTAGGGACCTAGAAGTAAAATCAAAGACTATAAAATTTATCTAAGAAAAGCTATGAACAACTCTAGAAGCCCTAATCTACAGCATAAACAGACTTCCAAGCATCCTGAAAAACCTACAAGCACGAGAGAAAAAAGAGATGAATGAGACCTTCTAAGAATCAAATCCCTGCGCACATCAAAAAACTTCTTGAACAGGGTAAAAAGGAAACCCACAGACAGGGGAAAAAATATTTAGCTGTGACGTTATCTGAAAAAGAACTCCTATCTAATACTTATAGACTACTCCAGCACCTCAACAAGAAAAAGGTAAACAACCCAATCACAAAATGGGCACAAAATATGAAGACATTTCACCAAAGAAGACATTCAGATGGCAAAAAAAAACACATGAAGAAATGTTTAAAATCCCTAGCTATCAGAGAGATGCAAATGAAAACGAGCAAAGTTCAACAAGGCAGCAAACAATTATCGGTGAGGTTGTGGGGAGATTGGAATCCATATTCACTCTGGTGGGAATGTAAAATGGTGCCGCCACTACAGAAGGCAGTTTGGTGCTGTCTCAAAAGTTAGAATTAAAATACCATTTGACTCAATTCCACAACTTACAAATACCCTCTAATGAAAAGCCAAGCTACGACTCATAGATACACACACTCTGGAAGCAGCCAAATGTCCATCATCAACAAATGAATGGAAAGAAATACTGTGGTAAACTCATGCAATGGAATATTGCACAGCACTGAAACACAATGAACTTGTAAAACACTGCACAAAATGGGTGAGTCGAAGAGTTTATGTTGAGTGAAATATTTTAATTACAAAAGGAAAAATATTGTGTAACACAAAGACTACTTAACACTGCTGCTATAAAATAGGACTGACATGGGAGGTTGGGAGGACAATAAAAGAAAGTGGATAGATAATGAACACTTGCACAGGAACATATGAGGGTAAAGACTGTCTGAAAGGAATGTATGATTTAGACATTATGACAACATTCTGGAACAAGGGGTGCACTGTAAAGTGGACTGGGGATGGTGAAGGGAGGGGGAGGGAGGAAAATATGCAGCAATGAATGAATGAAAACCCACCTTCTGTAAACTTTTGTTACAATCATAATTTAAAAATATATTTCTGAATACCCTAGAAGAGTTTTTATTAGAATACAAATTTTATCATGTCCATGTGATTGGAAGAGATCCATTATTTATTACCATTCCAAAAAATGGTGACCTGACAAGAGTGTGGAAATTATCGTATAATATCAATAATATAACATACTAGCAAAATCCTGCTGAAGATAACCCGAAAAGACTTGAACAGTACATTGACAGAGAACTACCAGAAATACAGGCTGGGTTTAGAAGAGGTTGTAGCACTAGGGACATTACTGCTAATGTAAGATGGATCTTGGCAGAAAACAGAGAGTACCAGAGGAATGTCCATCTGTGTTTCATTGACTATGCAAAGGCACTTGACTGTGTGGATCACAATACATTGTGGCTAACCTTGAGAAAAATGTGAATCTCAGAACACTTGATCATGCTTATACTTGGGACCAAGAAGCAGTCCTCAGAATAGAGCAAGGAAACACTGCATGGTTCAAAATCAAAAAAGAAGTGTGTCAGGGATGCATCCTGTCCCCGTACATTTTCAATTTGTATGCAGAACAGATCATTCGGGACGCAGGGCTTTATGAGGAGGGGTGTGGCATCATGATTGGAGAAAGACTCATTAACAGCCTACGATATGCAGACAACACAACCTTGCTTGCTGAAACTGAAGAAGACCTGAAGCACTTGCTGCAAAAGGTCAAGGACTGTAGTCGTCAATATGGATTGAAGCTCAACATCAAGACAACAAAAATTCTCACCACTGGGCCAACTGGCAGCACCATAATAGACAGAGAGGAGATTGAGGTTGTTAGCAATTATAGCTTGCTCAGATTTATAATCAACACTCTTAATAACAGCAGTCAGAAAATCAAAAGATGAACCACATTGGGAAAATCTGCTGTCACAGACTTCTCCAGAGAGCTGAAAAAGCAACAATGTCAGTCTAGATACAAAGGTGTGCCTAATTCAGTCCTTGGTTTTCTCAATTACTTGTTATGCTTCAAAAGTTGGACAATGACTAAGGATGACAGAGGAATAGATGCCTTCGAGTTGTGGTGCTGGAGAAGAGTCTTGAACTGCTAAGAAAACAAATCAGTCTGTCCTGGAGAGGGTGAAACCAAGTCTCTCCTTAAAGGCTAGGATTTTGAAGCTCTCTGCCTCACTTACTTTGGGCACATGGCCAGGAGAGATCAGTCCTTGGAAAAGGAACTCGTGTTCAGAAGGGTGGAAGGATAGCGCAGGAGAGGGAGATGCCGGAGGAGATGGGTTGATACAGTTACTAGGGCAGTGTGGGGTTGCTGTATCAGAATTAGTGAGACTGGCTCAGGACAGGGAAGGGTTCAGAGCTGCTGTACAAAGGGTCTATGCATCACAGACAACTAGTAACATTCTATGACAAGTTTGGAAGAAGGAGTGGCATCCACTCCCTAAACAACTTGCCTCTGGAAACTCTATAAACTTTAATGTTGATAGTTATAAATGGGCTTCAGGTCTTTTGTTCATAGGGTTGCTATGAGTCATGCTCGACTCAAAGGCAACAACAACAACTATGAGATTTCTGGAATAAAGGAAAACTTTAAAACTATTTTAAAGTAAGCTTCTAATACAGAGTGAGGTGATAACGGTATAGGCGGGAAATTAACTGAGTGAAGAAAATACTTACATCTCAACTTCTGCTCTTTATCTCCTTTGACACTGAACTGAGAGACACCCTCAATGAATTCTGCAGAAGCGGAGAAAATGTTTACAGATCAGAAGTTTCAAAGTTTTACATAAAATAAAAATGTTTATCATAAAAAGATACGTTATTGATGCAAAAGAAAAATATTAACAGCAGCATTTATAATGGAAAATATAAAATTAGAAACCTTCAATGAACAGATCCCATGTATATTTTTAAATCTGAACCATGAGCGCCCTGAAGTCAGAGGATTTGGATAGAACAAATCTTATGAACCGTGGAGCCTATGACAGAAAAGGGGAAACAATCTCTATATTTTTAAAACTATGTAACTTGTTTTTTCACATTTTGACTATAAAAGGAGAGCTTTGGAAAAAAAGATTATAAATTCTTTTGCTAGAATTAAAAAAACCTTTGAATTTCTGGTTCTAAAAATTCTGGGTCACGTAAACAAATGGCAAAAGGTCATTTACCTTTATTGCCTACTAAACAGTTAAATCCATATGCTTGGACTTATAATTCAGTTTCTCAAATTAAAATTATAAAACCTGCTGATAATTTTATAGTGAAATGAAGCATGAATTTTAAATTCTGAATAAAAAATGTCATCATGTTAATATTAGCAAACGCGTTACCCAGCGTCTTTGTAAAATCCAGATTAAAATAGGTTAATCCTGTTCTATCGTAATGAATGTATTCTTACCACTACAGTTTATTCTGTTGCTAACTTTGTACAACTTTCATTCTTAAAAAAATAAAGCTTTTCATATCATTAATTTATATAAAAAGAAAATAGGCTCGCACTCGAAAAACAAAAGAGAAAGCAAATTCCCTTTTTTAAGGAAATTATTTGAAAGGACATTATGATCATTTAGCAAAAGGTAAAAGGATCTTAAACCATTAAGGGTGGCATCTTGAAGTATATTAGCATCTGTCTTATTATTTATAAAATTACCAATAACTTAAACACATTTAAGACAAATTAAAACTCTTCTACTATTTCTGTATGCAAATATGAACAAAACCCTCCCATGCTCACGGATTACATAACTTTTTATTTTTTCATCAATAAAAGAAAAACTTCTTTCTCACCTTTAAAGTCTACTTCTCCATTCCCATCTGTGTCAAATATATCTATTACTCGTTGTACTAAAGGATTCTGCTGTAACTCGGGCAAGGACATGAATTCTTCCACGCTCAAAGAACCAGAATTGTCCAAATCAAGCTTCTTAAATCTCTTTCCTAGCCTTTTGATCTCATCAGCATCAACTAAAACCAAAGGAAAAAAAACAAGCTTTACCTAGTGATTTTATAATAGTTACAGGACAGAAGATCAGCAGTCATCCAATAATTTAAGGCCAATTTAATAATGATACATTGTTGACTAATGTCTTACAATCAAGAGAAAAGACACCATAAAAATGTGATTACCTTTTGGTTTCCGTGCACCTGCCATAACATACCCTCTGTATGCTGAGTACTAAGATAAAACAGGATAGACAATGCTAAGCTGATCATGGAGGTCACATGGATTCCTAACACACAAGCTGTATCAATCTCTGTTCTGTGTAAGAACAGGTTTTATTTAATTTCAAATTAGTTCATGGCTCAAAATTTGAATGTAGCTTGATTATTGTTTAAAATTCAAAAGGCATCAAAAATTTAGTCTTTCAGTCCAGACATCCAATTCTACTTCCGAGGCGATATTAGCAGTTTCTTAGATGTTCATCCAGAGAATTCTTCGCAAGTATATGCAAATAAAATAGAGCTTTCATTTTCTGTAAGCAAATATAATTTTCATAGCTAACCAAATTAACTTTTCAAGGCTTTGTGGGTAGGGGGCCAAATAAGTAAACAGTTTAACAAGAAATGATGGCATTAATTTGAGAACATCCTATAAAAATTCCACTATTAGATTTCTTACTATGTGCATTCTTTAACAAGGCTTAAGTAATTTTCTCCTAAACTACATCACTTTTGTCAATCCTTTATGATAGCAGGAGACTAATCCATATAAACAAGTTTACCATGGCTTAAAAGTACTTACAAATATTGAAAAAGGATTCATTTTGCTAGATCACCAACTTTTAAAAAAATAATTAAGTCATTACAATTCATAAGCAGAATTACTACCCATGAGCATATAGGTATTATGGTATACAATATCAGAGACTAAGATTACAAATGGTATTGACTATATATGCCATTCTAAGAATTTAAAAATTAAAGCATATGCTTTTAAGATATATTAAATGAAAA